TATATACATCATATTCATATGTGGGTATGTATTTCAGTTACTAACTGTACCTTATACAGAGCAACATTATAAAGTTGTCGTCGAATTTCGTGACGACCTCTCATAGAGCAAAAAAAAAAAAAAAGAACCAGCTGAATTATCGGAGGCTGCTGACTCATTAAATATTTTTGTAAATAAGAAAAAAAAAAAGTAAAAAGAAAGAAGCAGAGCCTAAAATATACACTCGTAGACATGTTTCTACCCTGCGAACGCTTAAAATGGGTATAACGGCTAGGTACATACATATGTAATAGATAGATTCCTGATAGAAAAATTGGATACATTCCGAGATTCTAACCGAATCCTTACTTGTCTTCAAATAGTAGAGGCGTGTACGTTTGCTTATTTATAGATGTATATTAAGCGTTTCAGTGTATCTGCTAGTCGGACACATCTGGCCTGTGCTTTATTGTTGAATTTTTGTTTACCTTTCAATTTGCTAACTTATTGTTGTTATTGTTGTTGCGCTCTAAGCCAAGTTGTAAGTCATGTTAGCCAATTCCAAATTCCAAAATTCCAGACAAAAGTAAGAAATAGATAGATCGAGCGAAAGATAGATATATTTATAAATATGTACACTCATGATGAAAATAATAGGTACACCCCTTAAAATTAAACTTTTTTGAGTTTAGTTTAGCAAAACATTTTTTCTACTGCTCTTAACATGAAAATTTAAATGCACATTTGTGTATTAGGTATATATTAATGTAAATACATAAATTTGGAAAAAAAATTTTATTTTTTTAAAAGTTACAAACAAATAAACAAAAATGGAGCTTTTTGTGCTTGACAAAAATAATAGGTACACTTTACTTTNATATATGTATATTTATATTCATATATATAATATTTATGAATCGAAAGACCGTCTCGCCAGAGAATCTCTGCTATAAACTAAGCTTTTTTCAGCCCAAAATTTATGCATAACGCCTCGCGGGCGTCATTTTATCTGCCAGATACCATCAGCATAATTATCTTCATCATCATCAACATGATTATGATCATCACTGTGGTTTGTCTCGAGAAAATGTCAATCAATAGAAATTCTTATTAATTGTTTTTGAAAAATCACACACAAAACATGATAAATTGAGCCATTGCTCCGACCGATTGTTAAATTATTTTCAGATTCTTTTCTTCGGCTTCAGTTTCAGCTTTCTTTTCGGGGTCAACAGTTTTTTCTAATGACCCGTCCCAAATGAGTGTGAAACGCTCTTTGCCAAAATTTTGCAGTTTTCAATTAAGCTTTAGCGTGTTTTAATAACTGTATCGATAATTGCTGTTGTTAACGCGAATTTCGATAATCAATTGAAACTTGGTGTAGGAGAACACCAAAGAGATTACTAAAACCCAAATTGCTGGTATTTATAGCTTTCATAAACTTTCGTATGTATATGCTAAAAGCTTGATGAAGTTATCAAATAATCGATTTATCGTTAAGATAACGTACGAACTATAAAAACGTAATGTGCTATACTAAAAAACCAGCTACTCATATGACATACTTTAGCCTTCAAATAAATTGTAAGCAAATTACTTCTATATCGATATTTATCGATTTAGCTGAAAATGAAGGCAATCTCTGCTATATCTCTCTCTAATAGAATGTATTTAAATTGCCTACATAAACATCTTCTGCTACCCGTCATACCCCTTTCAAGTGTCTATTTTACAGAGCATATCAAGAGCATGGCGAGCTGTTGACAAAGACATAAAAAACAATACTATTTCATTGATTTACATTTTTATGGCCTGTGTCTATCTGCATATCGGCTTCTTGATCAGCACATAACTTTTCCTTCTTCTTCTGCGCAGCTCATAAAATTTGCTTATCGCTATGAGGAACAACTACTACAGTGAGCATTCGATAGTCTCACAGTGCATTCACCTTCATTTATGCAACGCTCCAATTGCAGGCGCCTCGTACAGGGGGAACACGTGATGAGCAAACAAAGCGAGCAGCAATCAGCGTTTGCTCTCTTTTACTCTTTCACATTCTTCTCAGCAATTGCAAAAAAAAAAAAATGCAACGCAATCAAAGGGACAAAACAACCAATTGACGACAATGTTTGTGAGATCATTTATTTTAATAGAAACAACAGACGGAGAAAGGAGAGAAAGAGAGAGCAATTGTGGGAGTACCCTTACTAATAGAATTCCCGCTAATCTCAAATCAGTTAGCAGACAGCAATTCAAATAAATCTAAAACTAATAACTGAGTGCTAAGTGACACCTATCTCTCTCTCACCCACACACACTCCCTCCCTCTCCCTTCCTCCCACAGTTATTGTCAAATGGAAACTTAACACGCAAACCAATTGACAACTTTTGTGGTTTTCGATTGTTTCTGTTATTTTTTCGCATGTCCACTCCAATAACGCTCAACAAGTGGGCCTCGATTATGAGCCAAAACGGTGCGAAGGACGCCCAAACAGCTGGCGCTTAAGCTTTAGCGCTTTATATGGCCAAAACAGAGATACGAAAATTGTATAAAAAGAAAAAAAGCTAAAACGGCAACAGCAGCGCAACATAGGCAAATATGGTTATGCATTTAGATAGAGAGAGAGATTGAGAACGTGACTCTATTCACAATTCTCCTGAGACATGTGCTGATACATAAATGAGCTTCACTTTATTTAATTATGAAGTTCATTTGAGCTAAGTATCTATAATAAATGGAAACTTGTAGCAAGACTATTCACATTGATGAAAATTTTAGCTATATTTACAATTGTTATACAGAGCTGATATATTCTAATACAGCGGGTATATATATAGCATACTATATAGTATACAAGTGCTTTACTTCTTACAACTGAAACTGGATTTCAATTTAGTTCGTAATTGGACCCCAACTTGTATGCAATATATCTAGACTTCTACTATATTGAAACAAAAACCATTTTATCGACCGATAACATATTCTTTATGACTCCAGGGCGCATGCAAGTACAAGTGCATGGGTAAATTTGATATACAATCAAAATTTTGTAGCATTTTTCGTTCTTCTATTTTATAGATAGCTCAAGATAGAAAAACATATATTAGGGGTTTTATTTTTGGGAGCGCCCGTTGTCTCGGAAACTGCAATCTTATCCTTAACCAAACTTGAATTATGGTCATGAGCTCGAATGTTTACGATCCAATTAACGATAGGCGGACTATCTGCAATATATAGCCCCAGATAACGAAAAGAACTCTATATATGGGACTCTTTATATGATTTCATTTGTGAAACGGCTTTAGTTGAGTGTGGAACATTATGTATCAATCAAAGGTTACGCTGGATATATTGCTAAGTTATAAGTTATACATACTAAAGGATATTATCCACTCCACTACGCTCCTTACAGATAAATTCCAAGTACAGTGAGGAGCTGGCACAGGAGTCGCTGGAATGGATTAAGGCTGTGACAGGTGAGCCCATCAACACATCGGGCGATACGGACAACTTTTTTGAGGTGCTCAAGGATGGCGTGATCCTGTGCAAGCTGGCCAATTCCCTACAGCCCGGATCCATCAAGAAGGTTAACGAGAGCAAAATGGCCTTCAAGTGCATGGAGAACATTTCGGCTTTCCTCGAGTGTGCCAAGAACTTCGGTGTGCCCACACAGGAGACTTTCCAGAGTGTCGATCTCTGGGAGCGACAGAATCTCAATTCTGTTGTCATCTGCTTGCAGTCGCTGGGTCGCAAGGTAAGCAAGGCTTTAAAGGTATTTATATCACAACTTACTAATGATAATTCTCTCGATGTAGGCCTCCAACTTCAACAAGCCATCGATTGGCCCCAAGGAGGCGGACAAGAATGTGCGCAACTTCAGCGAGGAGCAGCTGCGTGCCGGCCAGAATGTTATCTCCCTACAGTACGGCTCCAATAAGGGCGCCACCCAGTCGGGCATTAACTTCGGCAACACTCGACACATGTAGAATCACTCACACTCGTACTTCCTATCGCTCTCACTCACATTCCGCAATAAAGCCAAAACAAAAATGAAAACATCTTCCGTTCCGGCATTCCTCTATTTAAAAACAACAACAACAAAAACCAAGACAAAAAATGTATTTATATAAAGCAAATGTTTCTTTATATTTGTATTAGAAATTGAACATTTTTTGCAACAAATTACTTTAATTTAATATTATTAAGTACTCGAACGTACGGATTTTTTAGAATGATTATATAATTCTATTTTCAACAAAAAAAGAAAAAACTGCATTTCTGGCACGATCAATTATTAATTATCTTATATATATATTCTTATATGAATCTAGTAAGCACTCAATAATTGTGCCATGACCAAACGTAACGGATTGCCTTGTGACTAAAGTACCGCCAAAATTTAAATCAGAAAAAAGAAGAGAAAACTAAAAATCTGTTGAAAAACTAACCACCTCAATTTCAATCAATACCTAAGCATTTAAAATGAATGTATTCAAAGCATCGAAATAATTGAAAAGAGAAACAAATATATAATATGTATTACTACACATTTAATTGATATATAATATATTTTAAATGTTATTCAATGTTGAAAATAAATAATTATTCTTTTAACAAATGTGATCTATTGATTTCTTATCGATATGCATGTTTGATATGATTGGGGGAGCTATCGATATATGCGTGATCAGGATCACCAGGGTGGCAAACAGGAAATACCAACACCAATACCACTAACTTCTCTGGTGAGTGCAAATACCAAATCAAGGACGTTAGTGCAATTTTCCATCATATGCATTTGTATCTATGATACAAATTAATTAGACTATTTATCTATATTATTATTAAGCATTCAATATAGATATTTAATACTTAAATTAAAGAAATATTTTTCCTAAGATAGTCCATATGTTTGTTTTATTTTTTTGTCTTCTGTTTTCATGGAATGACATGGAGATAGACTCAAGAACTATCGATACATTTATACATTTTGTGATCACTAAACATTGGGTCCAACGCCAAAACAAAAGTTTCAACACATGGATACAGAGATTTGTCGCATATGTTTGAATGCATCTAATACGCTGGTGGGCATTTTCGCTKTGCGGGAGGAAAGTCAAAATGGCCAACCAGAGCCCAGCCTGGCGGATATGCTAAACGCATGTGCTGATTGCCACATCAAAATCAATGATGGACTACCGCAACAAATCTGCATGAGTTGCGTCCGAAGCGCTCAAAATGCGTACAGATTTAAGCGCAAGTGCGAGGAGAACTATCGACAGCTGTTGGAAAGGCGCACGAACAACTCGTGGTCCTCAAAGAAAGAGCCCGAAAAAACAAAAACGGAACCAGATTCTAAGCACGTAAATCAGGGGAAGGAGGAAACAGCACAGTATAAATGCCAACTTTGTAGTAAAGAATTCGCCCATTTGAGCCTACTACGTGTGCACAAAAGGTAGGACATTCTGTTTATAAATCATCAAATCATTGCCTACCCTAATCTTATTCACTGCTTTCCAGATGGCACCTTGAAAACCAATCGAGGGTCAAAGTCACCGCATTGCCAAAGCAAGTACCAACGTCGGTTAAGCGGAATACCAAATACCCCGTTCGGCAGAAGAAAAGTCGTAATTTGCCGCTAATCAAGAACCATTCTCACAGCAGCGAGCGACCATTTGCGTGTACAATTTGCCCGATAGCATTTCAAAGTAAGACACATTTAGTGAGACATATGCGCAATCACACGGGTGAACGTCCTTATCAGTGTCCCCACTGCGCAGAAAGCTTTGCAAGAAGCGACTATTGCCGCAATCATATGAACAAAGTGCATAGAGGTCTAAAATTCACTGGCAAGTTGGCGTAAGTAGTGAAATTTGTAATTACAATAATTTATTTCAAGTTGATCTCTTTTCATTTTGTAGCCGAAGTAAGAAGGGAAAATCGTAAGGTAACATGCATCAAAAGACACTAGAGATCTTCGAGCTTCCTCATTTGCAAAATAAAATGACAAAAACATTAAGGTTTTCATTCATTGAATTGAGTATACAAATTTAGGACTAAATATATTTTTTTAAATTTAAGAATAAATTGAATAAAATATATCGATACTTACACATCTCAATTGTGATGGAGACAAAAAACATCGCTGTGCGATTAATCGGTACACGCACATCGCAATTGTGCAGCCCGGCTCAATATTAAGAGAAAACAAGGTTGTGTCACGCCTAGGGATTGCAACTTTGCTCGTATTGCATTTGATGCAAGAGTTCTTGTGTTTATAAAATATTAAACAATACCAGCATATATACTAATAAAATTAAGTGGACTCATCTCCACTCAAAAAATACATCAATATCGGAAATAACTAGCAGCAGCAATATTGTGAAATGTGACGTCAGAGCACGCAGACTAAAAATGCACTAGTGCAACACGTAACCTTGGCCCTGGCAACGTTATGCACATATGTAAATTACAAGTGCACAAATAGTATCCGATATAGTGAGTGCATACAATATGGACGCCGACAGCAGTTCACGTTCACCAAGAGGTTTGTATTGTGTTTCAACGGCTTCTTTAAGCAAAATGTGAAAAAACAATGTTTTTGTTGTTTTTTTTCTAGTGACAAAATGTGAAAGTGATTTACAATGGCAAGCCAAAAAGGACGCGCAACATATTCGATAAGCGAAATGCAGTGAAGGATGTACTAAAGAGCATATTCTGGATATAAACGTATCAAAAGACGCCGACATATAAAGCTAAATACTGAACGAAGCTTCTCTTGTATGTGTTGCATTTAGATACGAGGAGGCGCACGCGTCCCAAGGAGAAGGAAAAAGAGAAGGTGCCATACTTTGCGGATGAGGCAAGGGAACGTGATCGAGTACGCAATCTGCGACTTAGGAAAACATCGATAACACGCCCAACCACTCCACCCAGAGGAAGGCCAAGACGTGCCAGATCTCGCTCATATTCTGCGGAACGCAATTGCTGCCATCGACGTCGCCGGTCCAGGAGCTACGAACGCCGTCACAGTAGCAATCGCTATAAATCCGCCACAGCACCCGCTGCAAAGCCTAATCGACGTCGCAGCCGTAGCCGCAGTCGGAGCCGCAGTCGGAGCCGCAGCCGCAGTCGCTCTCGAACGCCACGCATTATAACGGTGCCTGTGCCAGTGCCTGCTGCCGATTATCCCTACGCCTACGTGAGTAGCCAGCTCAAACTCTCAGCTCGATCGTCATCGATTAATAAATTCCTCTTGCAGGCTTGGCCACCTCCGCCGCAGCGTCCACATTTCAATCCCATGTATGGCGCCGTGCCATATGGTCTGCCACCACGTCCTGTGTATCCTGCGCATCCGTATTTTGCGCCGTATCCACGACCGAGGCCAACATTTCCCTATCGAGCCGCTCCAATCCGGCCGCATCCCCGATTTAGCTATAGGAATCAACGGCAGGCGCCGAATTGAATTTTTTAAACTTTACATAATTACAAATTTATTTACTCAACTGCTATTTACATTCGTGTGTTTTGATTTGTACATTAAATTAATAAATTATACACATGAAACTAAATACAAATAAAAATAATAAAAAAAAACATAAAATATTGCAATTATTAAACGGGAGAGGGAAGTTTCTTGATGGGGTCTTGAATTTGATTAAATCAGACGTTACAGAGTCGCAACAAAAGTCACACGAGGATAATGGATAATGCTAATCACGTTCAACTTAAGGACTACTCTATGCCGACTTTATATACATGCACATTTACACATACATACATATTTTTGTGTTTTCGTTTTAGAGAGAACTAACACTAGGGGAACTCCTAAGATTCATATTTATATATATAAATATATATTCATATATATAATAGAGCACTATGTCAATAAATTATAAAAAATATATATATAGATCATTTTTGCATTTGCTTGTGTTAAAGCTCGACACGAGGACGAAATTGCAGCCGTAACGGTGGATCTCGAAAGCGCCAACGTGTCACATAGACAAATTTCAACGTGTGATCCTTGCCCAGCAGCTCCTCATTACACAGTATATCGATCTGCAGGGTTATCGGACAATACATTAGATAAGTTATCGCAATTACTTATTGTTATTGTAAATATAGTTATGCTAGCGATGATCTCACCTCCCGATATTTTTCGATTCCGTTGAGTATCTTCTTAGCGACGAGCTTTTTGAGATGCGTTATCGTCGCCTGCGAACTGCAGCGTATAAAGCGTCTTTGCAGATTCTTAAAGTTATTGCTAATACACTCGAGGCACACGTTGACCTGTTCGTCGAGACGGTGGAAGTCGGATTCGGCATGCGCGTCCATCACCTTCTCGTTGTCGTCATCGTGATTTTGCGTTATATCCTTCGGACATGGCATATTCCGACTCTTGTAGAAATCACGTTCGCGCCGCGACTCATCTGCAATTCGAAGCAGTTTAAGAGGAAGTTCGCTAAATTCAATGTATTCTATTCTGTTTACCTTCTTGAAGCTTTGGCACCAATTTGTACACAATGTCCTGCATGGTGCGATCGAAGCTGATGTATTGCAGCGGATGTGATTGATGTATAATGTTGTCGCAGGTGGGGCATGTCTTTTTTTCCTCCAAGTGTTTCACCAGGCAGCTTTTGCAAACTGTAAAATATGCCAAACGCAAAAATATAAATATTTGTTTACATATATGTATGTGTGCGTGTGTATTTTGTAGTTTGTTCCATTTTTGCTTTACTCTTCATTCACGATGGGAAACAGCGTAGGATTAGTTTTTGGCGTTGCCAGCTTTCATCATACACACACTTTATCACCCACGCGATCAGCCGGCAATCTCCTCCATATAGCACAACACAGGGCTTACAAGAGCAAATGTATGTATAGGAGTAACGGTATCACCTGCCCGCTGGAAGCCTCATCTGGACATGACTGCGCGTAAAAGCACACGCCAGAGGCAACGGCAACGGCAACCGGTGCAGGTGCTCGTGCTCCCCCCACTCTTCAACTGTTACTGGCAATTAGCGCAAAAAAAAAGAGCAGCAAGCAGAAGAAACTCACATGTGTGCAGACACTCGGTCACTGTGGTCGCATCTATGAAATAGCCACCGCATATTTTACACGTTATGTGCGGATTAATAGTCTTTAGTTTTACGCGCCGCTCCATTTTGGCAGTTTGATTAACAAATTTCTTATGAAATAAATAACTCTCGCTCGCAGCATAAAATTCTCTCTCCTCCCTCTCTCAGCGAACAATTTGTTGTCTTTTCCGTTTGGTTGGCGAATATTCGCTATTCCTATTGCGACAAATTGTGCGCACACGTATGCAAAACACTCAACACACTCTTGTACATTTTTGCTATGCACTTTAACAGTATTTGTAATATTATTTTTAAACAAATAAAAGAAATCACGACAAAATTGTGTGTACGTGTACGTGTGTGAGTGTGAGTGTACGTGTACATTGACCGTGGTGAATGGCAATTCAAGCATATCGTAGCCATGCACTGTGAATGCGTAATGGTGCTGCCAGATATTTGAGTATATATTTTTAAATATAAACACAAACAACGAATTATTTAAGAAGAATCAATAAAAATTGTGCTAAGATGACTTTATAAACAAAAATTATTGAATTCAATATTAATATATAAATGACACTCAATAATTCATTTAAAAAAAGGGTATAAATCGACTGCCGCCACATTTACTGGTTCCTTAACATTTAATCTGTTAATTTAAACTTATAACATGGATTACAAAAATTAAATGCATTTTCTGATTTTTCGATGATTGGCGAATGAAGACCGTTATGTATATTTTATAAAGTTGTTATTATTTTATTTTGATTTTCATCAGAACTGTTCTGCCAATCGGAATGCTGTTTATGCATTTACATTTCTGTTAACTTAAAATACCAACGAAAAATACCACAATATTGATTTTGCACTTGTTGCTTTTCGCGCAGCAAATAAAGTTAACATTCTTGTTTTGAAATTCTAATTAAATCAAAAAAGCTGTCAATTAACGAGTTAACATTATAACAACAATAACAATAACGAAAACTTGTTTGCAGGCCAAAAACCCCGAACAGCAGTTTAGTCAGCAAAACTTCGCACGAGTCGCTTTTGAGTCATTTTCGAAGCGAAGCAAGTCGTGAATTATTTGTGCTTAGCTTAAAAATTGAATTCGTTATTCTTACTTGAGTTCAGTTGCGTTCAAGTCGTTAAACTGGCAGCACGTATCATGTCCGCAGGTCGCGTTTTCATCTATGGGGGGAAAGGAGCCCTCGGGTCCGCCTGCGTCGATCACTTCAAAGCCAAAGACTTTGTACGTTTCCCTTTCACTTTTATTGTTTTTGTTTTGTTTCTTATTTAACTGCAATTGTTTAATAATTTCCATTGTTTCTATGACATGACCTCCAGTGGGTTGGCAGCATTGATTTGAGTGAAAACGACAAAGCAGACATTAGCATTGTTGTGCCACGCGATTCGAGCTGGGAGGAGCAGGAATCCTCTGTGGTTAGCCAGGTGGGCGAATCTTTGGCTGGCCAGAAACTGGATGCTGTAATCTGTGTAGCCGGCGGCTGGGCAGGTGGCAATGCCAAGAAAGGTGAGTCACGACAAAACTCACCCAAGATTAATTAAAAACTCATGTAATTCCTTTTTATAGATCTGGCCAAGAATGCAGATCTGATGTGGCGGCAAAGCGTTTGGAGCAGCTGCATCTCAGCCACATTGGCTGCACACCACCTGAAGACAGGTGGTCTGTTGGCTCTGACCGGCGCCAAGCCTGCCCTGGCTGGCACTCCTGGCATGATTGGCTACGGCATGGCCAAGGCTGCAGTGCATCAGCTAACACGCTCGCTGGCGGGCGAGAATTCCGGTTTGCCCGATAATGCGCTGGTTGTATCCATTCTACCTGTTACCCTAGACACGCCCATGAACCGCAAGTGGATGCCCAAGGCTGACTTCAGCAGCTGGACACCTGTTACCGAGGTCGCCGAACTCTTTGAGAAATGGACACAGTCCAAGGACAGACCCAAAAGCGGTTCCCTGCTGCAGCTGATCACAAAGAATGGCATTACGGAACTCATTCCGGCGGAGTAGAGACAAGAGATTATTGAACAAACTAATGATGATACACTATATACAATATACATATATATATAATGCTTGTGCTTAACAAATATGAATAAAGGGACGATGGAGGAAGAAGCTTAAATATGCTTGCAAAGCAAAAGAAAAATTGTTATAGCAATATTTGATAATTATTATTAAAAATAGAGGAACTTCTTTATATATACCCTTCGCCGAGGCAAATCAAAATTAGATCAAGATATAGCTTCTACCTTTTACACACCGAAAAATATTTGAAAACAATTTAGCTTGGTATGAACTAATTATCAAGGAAGTAAGCTTTCAATCGGATGTATATATGTATATAGAGTATGTGTATCTATATGTATATATATATACATATACTCTATAAACAATCTCGCAAGTGTTACAAACTCCATTACATGCATAGTCAAAGTACCCTCTCAGATAGTTTAAATAATACATTTTTCAAATTGTTTCCCAATTGCGCTCGCTTTCGTTTAATAAATTTTCTCCCATATTGTTTACACCATTAGCTATTAGTGTGATAACCTATTGAACTATGATAATCGTAGTTGTGAGCAGCTCGCTTATGTCTTCTTCTTCTTCATGATCTTCATGAAGAGTACCATGGCTGCAAAGAGAGATGAGTGACGAGAGAGATTCACATCTAATCAAATCCGGCTTACCTATAAAAACGACGATGACAAATACAAACATCAGCCAGAGCCAACATTTGTAGGCTTTGCGTGAATGCTGTTCGAGCTTTTCGGCCTCTTTGCCGAGTGTATTGATATTGCGATCTGCCACGCCTGAGGAACGGGATACAATTTCCGTATCCTTTTTGATGATACGATTCGCCGTCTCCGTTTGCTCCTTCAGATTGCGCGTCAGTGAGAGCATGTGCTCAGTTATCTTCTCCTGGGCATTGTTGTAATACTTGACGGCTTCGTTCATGTTCATGTTGCCGCCGCTGGTGGTTTCGCCAGGTGACCCCGAATCATCAGCAACTCTTCTGCGACGCAGTGCATCCGCATCTGTAAGGGGGAGAGGGAGAGAAAGAGAAAAGTTGAGTGCTTCTTTATCTACTCCGACGCCTACCTTGCAGCAGCTCCGTACGCAACTCGTTGTGCCTGGCTGTGTTTTGGAGCTGTCGCATTTCCTGCAGCGCAATGTCTGTATCGGAACTACGCGCGGAAGGCTTGGAATTATTGTTGGTCGTGTAGCCAGTGATTTTCTTTAACGCGTCTAGTCGCTCCAAATAGCTGGGTATGCGTGCAGCACTCGATGGACTGTTGCAGTAGTGGTTGGGTTGGCATTTTAGATATTTTATTTCAGCCAGACAAAATAATATGTCCACTCACTCTTCCATTGCCGCCAGCTCGGCAACCATCGTTTCTAGTGATTTGAGGAACTTTTGCAACCGCCAAAAGTTGTCCTCGCTTTTTGCCAGGTCCTCACAGTTAGTTAAGAGCGTTCGTATGTTTACATTTAATTTCGTTGCCATTTTATATACAAAAACATACAATAATTTATTATCGCTGACTTCTAAGCATCAAAAGCTACGTGTATCGATAGCGATATTTAATTATATTTTTCTTTTTGCTAGCTGGTATCGATAACATCCTATTATATATACTTGGTATTTTCTGCAATAGCCAATATCGACAGTTATCCAGCATGACATTATATGACTTGAAATTGAATAGTTTTTTAATATATGTTTTTTAATACATGTAACAATTAATAATTTTAAGCCTGTTTATTTGAATAAAACATTTATAGATTAAATTAATTTTCGTTTTGCAACAGGAAATATCGATACTTATGCAATGACAGCTTGTTGTCAATCAAGTGTCATTAAGCATAAACTTTATTGACTGAAGATTTTATGATTTTATTACTTATATGTTCCTTTCATCATATATTTAATTAAATCATCATATCAATGGAATTTATAATTAAACCATGTAACTTACAGCATCTCATCCGAACAGCTTGTGTGAGCTGCGTACTTGGCTCTTGCGAACAGCTGAATTSCTCAACCAAATGCAACGCTTATTCCAAAGCGCTTGCCAACACTCCGTCGCGACGTTCGGACGTAGAAACGCGAAGAAAACGGCAGTTTGCTGGAACATTTTTTGCTCCGTGGATTTTAATTAAATTTAAAATTACTGCAAAAACCGCCAAGTATGTACGTGCAAGATACGCAAGCGGAGTATATAGTGCCGGCTAAATTTAAGAAGTGCATGTTTCATAAAACAAAATGGGAATAGAAAGTGGCACAGAGTATAAGAAATGTAAATGATAAAAAAGAGTCAAAGCCAAAGAAATGCGAAAATATATACATATACATACATATGTACATCCGCATACATATGCACGTATATGTGTCGTGCGAGAAAGAGACAAGGCCATGAGAGTGAAGCATAAGATAATACATATAAATAACAGTGCAGCCATTTAACAATTTAGCATAATTACATTCAATGTACGTTATGTACGTATGTAACTGCATTTTAAATATTTCCGCAATGGCATTAATAATTGGAATGCTTGCCGCTGGAAAGGGGATCATTTTGTGAGTGTGTATGTGAGTGAGTTTGAGTAGTTGAGTGTATTTTTCATGCGTGTGTGTGAGGACATATATATAAATATATATGTATGCAAACGAAGGGAACATAAAAGCGGTGGTATCTATGTAAAAAAAAATAGAATTATTACTTAGAAAATGTACAAGTCAACAACATAAAACGGTTACTTCATAAATTTAAACAAATAATATATAAAATAGATGTGTACCACACATTCGAAAGAAAACCTACGAAAGTGGTTGCTCGCGTCACTGCTACGTTTGTATATGCATGCGTGTGTGTGTATGACATACACACATAGGTGCGTTCACCACGGACAGTCTTGTGTGTGTGCGTGTGAATGCGAGAGGAATGCTGTCTATGTATCACGTTTCGCACTCTATATGCATATATGTTCATATATAAGTCGAGGTATGTGTGTGTGTTTAGTGTTGTGTAGTGCACAAAACATGAAGTCAACAGATTTGAATTCTGATTCTTTTAAATATCTACATATTTGGCTTATGTTTTGAAGCCAGTGCATTAGATCGTTGACACTCGCTCCCACAACAGATACAGTGTGGGCATGGTTGTCGTTTGCCAAAATGTACGACTGGCCATTTTGTCTGCGCCATAGTTGAGCAAATCGATCTGGTTTATTCTCCGGGTTTCAAACAAAAAAAAGTTGCATCCCTAACCAGGCAGCATTCACAAGCAGAGGGCGATGCACAAAAGAGACAGTGAGACGTAGCGAGAGAGAGAGAGTGAGCGTCCGTATAATAAACATACACACACAGATATATACATATGTATATAAGAAAACAAACTTGTTTGGCCGTGCGGTGTGTACTCTCTCGCTCTGGTCCTCGATCCCGCTCACTTGCAAAATGAGCAAAACGCCGCTATTCGTTAAAAGAGAGAGCTCACAAATCTGCTTTTGAGTGGGCTGCTGCTATTGCTGCTGTTGCTCGTTTCCATTCTCGCTACTCGCTGCTTTGGCCTGTAGCTGTTGCTCTCTCTCTCTCTCTGTTTTAGCAACTACTCAAAACCAAAAGCAAAGCTAGACGAGCAAAATTTCCATTGTGTGTGGCGATGTCGCGTCGTCGTTGTCGTTGCCAGCTACCAGCAGCAGAAGCAGAAACGGTCTCGCAGTCGGTTTTAAATTTTCTGACTCGTCATTTGGTGTTGTGCGAAAAGCGAGAAAAACGCACTTATATACATATATTTATAAATATATACGTTCGGCTACATATGTGTATATTGAGTAATAAATTAAAAATATGTATTTAATGCGGCGCAGAAGGCAGTGCAAGGTGCAAGTTCGATACAAAAAAAGATTAGCAATAAATTCAATCAAGTCTCCCATCGCTGTCAATGCTCTGTGTACGTGTGCATGTGTGTGTGCGTGCATGTGTGATATTGTGTGTGTGTGAGTTTCTTTTTAAGCACAAACTCATTACAATTTACTATTACTCATCTGCTGCTGCTGCTTCTTGCCTCTGTTCCACACACAAAGACTGTGAGTGAGTGAGAGAAAGAGACAGAGAGCGAGTCGCAACACGCAAACCGCAAATAACTTACAACTTTATATTGTGAAAAATCGAAATACGAAAAAATGTATACAGAAAAATGTATTTCAAAATGCACAATTGGCAAGATTTGCAACAGTGTCGAAACACCGTTATGTGCAGACATTTATAAACGACGCATTTAGAATATATTTGCAAAAGTCATATTTACTCAATTTGTATAAACTGTAGCTAAAAAACTACCTATTTTAGTTTTTTCGTTTTCTTTCCTTTTTTTTGTCTACATCAACGATTAACGAAAACTCAACGACTTTCATCGTCGTGCGTCGGTGTTTATATGTATGCATGCATAAGTGTGACTCGTTTGCTCTCTCGCTGATACAACTACAGACATACACACACTAAGAAGCACCCCAGTCGTCGTTCTCGTCACGTCGACTGCGCGCCTTGAAAAAGTCAATTTGGTTTGTGTGCATGTGTGTGTGTGTGTGTGTGTGTGTGCGTCGAGTCTCTCATTCGCTTTCGTCTTGCGCTCAGTGCCGAATGAATGGACAGTGGTTCAGCTCCATGAAGAGAGAGCGACAGAGTTGGAGCATTAGTAGATGGACGTGTGCTGCTGCGGCCGTCCACCCTTGTAATTGCCGCAAATGTGCGCGTGTATTTGTGAGAGAGCAACAAATAAGTAGAAGCAGCAGTAGTAGCAGTAGTCTCAATAAAAAAACAATATGACTAAAACGTTAAAAATACAAAATTGCTTTTTATTGTCGTGTGCCAGCATAAATGCGTGTGTTTTTTTGAGTGCAATTCTCCGAAAGCCAAGTCTCTCTCTCGCTTTACAGTAAACTTGACTGGGATGTTGTTGCTGATTTCGAAATTGATTTAACTGAACGTGTTTCGGCTTCGGAAGCGCGCGCATAAACGAAAACGAAATATTCAACAACAACAACAATAATAATAGAAATGACTTTTCTCTTACAGTGCAGCGACGTAAATAATAATAATAATAATATATACACACACACAACAAAACAACGAAGTGAAAATGT